AGTGCTTTTCCCACTTCAATGTGCCTGGAGGGCTTGTGGAAAACAGAACCCAAGGACCATCCCCAGGGATTCTGAGTCTACAGGCCTGAGACAAGATGCAAAAATGCTCATTTCTCACAAGCTCCTGGCAGATTCTGGTACTGTCTTCTTTGGATCATCCTTTGAATAATACTGTTCTAGAATCTTCTGGCATGGAGAGGGATACAGGGAGGGTTGCATGATGAAGGGAAGCCTACTGTTGAACTATATGTTCTAGAGCTAGTGGCTATTTAAATGAATAACAAGGAATGTCATGAGCTGATAATTTAGTCTTTGAATGTTGTGGGTTTTCTGCTTAGTGGCTGAATGACCAGCTTAAGTCATTATATTTTTGTATACCACAATCATTACCTCAAAGTGGACTACTTTTTTTTAAAATCCTCTTTATGGGTTTTGTTTTCTCTGAGATAGATAATAACTCTGCAAATGCAAAAAAGCTTTCAGTTGTCCCATTCCACTGACCTAGCTTTCTAAGGGCCTGGTAGTCAGCATTGACACTCTGTGTTCTGTACAAACAACTAAATAAGACTTAAGTTCCAAATAAACACAATGAGGCACTGGGGTCAGGGGTAAGAAGTGAGAGAGGAGGGGAAGAAATGCAGCCTAAGCTGTCCTTGGCATGAGGTAAAATGGAATGAGTCTAAAAAATACGAAGGAAGGAGAGATGGAGGAGGGAGGCAACGAAGAAGAAAGGGAGAGAAGAAGAGAAGAAGAGAGAAAGAGGGAAGGGGTGATTTATTCAGTTATTCAGAGTTTAGGACTGAATGTCCCTCTAAAAGCTGGACAAAATAACAAACATATGCCTGAAGCTCATGAAGAATAAAAGTGGAAGACTCATAATTTTGTTCCTCTTCTGAAGCAACCTATTGCAAAAGATCTCCTATAAACTAAGAGCCTTCATTCTCCTGGGCACGAGCTGGCAAGTGAAAAAGTCTGTACACACACACACATACTTTTAGAGCATTCTACACGCACAATTCATAGACACTAAGTCTAATCGTTACTGGAAACAGGAAAAAAAATACCAAAGCAACAAACCTTAGAAATCCTTCCTAGTCAATGAAGCCATCAGCAATTTCAAATTCAGTTTCATTTGTTAGTTTAAAAAGAGAGAGAGAGAGCACTTAGCAAGTGGTTACCTCTCAGAGCTTCCAGAGGACTGTTCTTCTTTGTACTGCTTTTTTTTTTTTTTGGTACCAGGGATCGAACTTGGGACCTTGTGCTTTTGAGGCAGGCAGCAGGACCACTGAGCTAAATCCCCGGCCCCTTTGTATTGCATTTTAAACAAATATGATCGGAAATCAAATGACTCCAAATATTTGCCTTCCAGATGTTTTTAACTCTAAGCCTTAAAAACTATCTAAGTTGCTTCCTTCTTGCCTGAGATTTGAGTCCACGAGTTCCCTTGACAAGGAAGGCCCTTTGGTCCCTCTTCTGGTTGCTGAAGCCATTTCAGCTTTGAAGCAGTTTACCTAACCCTGCAGGCAGCACTGAGTCAAGCCACCTGCTGTCAATGATCTGTTATTGCTCAGCCTTGGTGCTTGCCACATTGAACACCTTAGGACACGGGGGTAGAACAGGATCTGGCCTCTGACACATCCTACTCCAGACCCTGCATGGTATAGGTGAGGAAACAGGATTTCTAAGAAGCTGAAGTGCTCTATTAAAGCAACCCAGCCATCCAGCAGCAGAGCTGGGTCAAAACTGGAAACACCCCATACCGGGTACTGCAAAAAAACAAAAAAAACAAAACTGGAAACACCGATCTGACTATCAGACAATGCTCTGCACTTAATTTAAAAGCATGTTCCTGAAGTAGAAACCATGCTGTAAACTAACAGCAACTGTTCAGCTACCAGATTGATTAAGACTTCTAATATTGACAAGAAGAGTTTAAGAGAAATGCTGAATGCCAGCATTCTGTTTGAAATCTTGAGGGCACCTAGTGTGTAGTCAGCACACTGTATTTTTTCTGTTATTATTGGTATGCATGCCTGTCTTCTCAGAGAGTGCATTCTCCACCAGGGATGGATGATGTCCTGTTTATGTCTGTGCCCCCTCCCAGCTGCATAGCATGGATTTTACACACAGTGATACTAAGCACATCATTTTCAAAACAAATGAGCTCCCCAAACACACAGGCAGAGCAAGGATAGAAGATGTTCTATACATTGAGAATGGAGGGAAATAATCATCTGTATTTTATTAAATAGAAAACTCAGAGAGAGTAGCTGCCTAAGTACGGAGAATTATCAGGGAGAGGTTTCTAGACTACCAAACATTTTTCTGGAGCCCATTTAATCAGGGACTCTTTACTTCTTAGGATATTTCGTTGTCTTAATCAGAAGCTCCACACCCCTCTCAACAATGCTGTCCCTCCTAAGGGACCAGCACTGGTGCAATCCCTCTGGAAAAGCTTAATCGGGCTAATTGAGTCACAATACCAGCCCAAATTAATTAGACTTTTAGAAAGTTGTCAACACCCTTTAAAGTAACTTGGGCTCTGACTCTCCATAGCTTTCACAGAGTAGTAAACACTCAAGTTCTAAAGGCTTTAAATTCTACCAAGAATCCATCCATAAAGATCCTTCTCTTCTCAAGGACATTCACTCTACTGGCTTTTTATTTCCATATTAAACAGAAATTAAAAAGCAGAACTTCAGACTCCAAGAAAGATCACAAAACTTCAAAGTTCAAAAAGCCTATTTCTGTAGTCATTTTACAAAGAAACAAAGTAGTGTAGACTTGTAACCCCTAAGCAGCACCCCCATCTCAGAAAAGTCTCACTGCATTCCTGGAAACCAAAAGCATCCCTGCCAGAAGCAGAACAAGTGTCTTCAGATCTAGAAATCATTGAATCAAGCAATTAAAATTAAATCTCTTGCTAGATGTGGTGGCACACACCTGTAATCCTAGTACTCAGGAGACGGAGACAGAAGGATCACCATGAGTTCAAAGCCAGCCTACACTACATAGTGAGTTTGAGGCCAGTTTGAACTACAAAGTGAGACCTTGTCTCAAATAAAACAAAATAAAATAAATAAAATAAAATCTCTTAAATCTCCGGGTCTTTCCACTGCAGCAACACAAATATATTTTAAGCATCTAATCACTAGTTTCTCCTCCATAACCTTGTCTATAATAGCTTAATATTAAAAATTGGCTACAAAATTCACAACCTTACTCTCAAGGCACATTTATTTTGTATTTCATAAGTAAAAGTATCATTTTTTTAAATCCACCATGCACTTACAACACATCTTTCAATAGAGAGTCCTGAATCCTCTAATTGTCCACTTAGCAACTATTTCTCATAGGCTGGTGGCAGGCAGAAGCAAGTATTTCTAACCCCATTTTAGAATGAGGAAACAGCCTCAGGGACCTGAACTAAGACGATTCAGTTGTGAGGCTGAAATAGAAAATCAAACAAGATGACCTTGAATCAAATCGAGCCAGAAAAGGAGGTATAAATTGGTGGTGACACGTGCGTAGACAAATGTAACACCAGAAAAATCATCAAAATAGCCTTCTTTTTTTCTTTTTTTTCTTTTTTTTTTTGGTACTGGGGATCGAACTCGGGTCCTTGTGCTTGCACAGCAGGTGGCGAAATCACTGGGCTAAATCCCTGGCCCAATAGCCTTATTTTTTTAAAAAAGCATTACCGTCAAATCCTAAATATTATTTTTTATGCATATGCCATTACTTTGGCACATTCATTGTGTGAGTTTGCTGTTTGGAGTATGACCATATGTTATATATTCTGTTATCTACACTGCTTTATTTCCTCCCTAAGTATAACCCATGGAATACTAAAATGACTATTTACCTCACAAAATTACTTGTTACACTATGTGCTTATTCTAAGATTTTGATTTTGATTTTAAAATCTATTTAAAACCACTTGTCAATTAGTTTATTAGGAATCAGGGCAGAGTTGGAGGGAATTGTTCAAAAATTTGAAAGCAAACTAACTTCTAACACCTTCTAAAAACCAACGGACTCCATCAAGACCACTTAACTATCTAGCGACTAAGATGGGTCAAATCTGAGCACAGGCCTGACTCCTACCCAGTGCCTTAATTGTACCAAACCATGTTCCCCAACTAAATGGAAACAATGCACTAACTCAAAGCTTCTGCTCCCAGATCACTTCTGACGTCCAACAGTGGCACAATGTATTTAAGAAGAACATGGAATGTCTGTCTGAAACCTTCCTGTCTCTTCACAACACCCTCTCTCTCCTCCCACCTCTGCTCTGCCTCTTCCATGTACTGAATGCCACTGGAATTTCAAAGCCCAACAAATTTAGACTTGCTCATGAAGGAAAAAAAAAAAAAAGAGTTGGAAAATTTGACTAATGACAAATCACCCTCCCCACACTGCTGTACCCACAACTCTTTCTGCCTCTGTAGGAAACAAAAGATGTAACAGCTAAGGAAAGAAGAAATGGAAGATGAGGGAAAGCAGAAGTTGTGTTCTAGTCAGGAACTGGAGACAATGTAGCTGAGTCAGTAATCCCTCAAAACAAAAACAAGACAATTCAAAATTGTGTCAACTCAAGAAAAAATGAAATGCACAGAATATTCACTTGAGTAAAGATTCAGCCCAACGTCCTCCAGTGGAAAGGGAAAGATCATTTCATTTTATAAACAAGATCTGGGATAGAACCTAGATTCTCTCATCTCATCAAGCTCATACTCTGAACTTCTGTGCTAATCCCTCCCTGACTAAGATTGCTGAGAAGATGAAGGCTTCTTGGGGCTAGACTTTTAGCCAGAAAATAGAAAAGAAGGCCCTCAGCCAAAGCATTAAATTACTCATTTTCTTATGTTTCTACTCCTCTAGTCAGAAGGCTCTATGAGGGCAGGACTTGAAACATCTGGGACTCCCATCCCAGTACACGAAGCCTGGCAGGCATTTGGATGATTTGCCACAACATGATGAGGCCAAAGTCTACTTACACTTATGAGAGAGAAGCACATCAAAGGAATCTGCCCACCTCGTAGCCTCCTCAGTGGATAATCTCCTAGGAAAGAAGAAACATCTCTCCTAAAATGACCTCCTCCCACTCAGCCACCACTAAGATTTGCTTAGGAGTACAAATTGGAACAATGGAGGGCAAATGCAGACTATACCTGGATTCCTAAAATTCTGTTGCTGTAAATTTGTACATCCATAAGTCACTGTTGGGAAAACCTCAGGGTGCAAATTCAGGATATTGGCTTTCAGTCTAAACAAAAGCTAAGTAACAGCATGATTTAAAGATGTCAAAGTAACACTGGAAAGAAACTGGTTTTGTAAAAAAAAAAAAGCTAGGCTCAGCTCATGAGTCCATCTCTCACTGTCACCTTGAGTTCTTCACCTCTGAAGAGGGAATGATGATGCCCATTCCAGAGCTGGCTGAGGGCGAGACTAGGTGATGTCTGTGACATCATTTGATACAGCTCCTGCACACAATAGCCATTGAATCCAGATTATCTGAATCTAAGGATATTTTTAGAATAACTTTCAGTGTTTATTTCCAAATTGAGAGCTCAGATTGCTAACTAAGTAGAACTGAGAAGTATCCTTCACCTCCCACAGCATCTGAGTGATGGGAGACATGGCTCTCCTAGGAGGAGAAGGGCTCCCGTTCTGACATCGTGAAGCTATAACTTTCTTCTCCTCACATCAGGAATATCAAGAGCTGCTGAGAGGCAGGAATGTATTGTCCTATGGTTATCTGGTCAGCAGCTCACTAGAGAAGAATATGTTATATAGTTCAATAGTGGACACCCGGGGCCGGGGATTTAGCTCAGTGGTTCCGCCGCCTGCCTCAAAAGCGGAAGGATCTGAGTTTGATCCCCGGTACCAAAAAAAAAAAAGTAAAATCAATAGTGGACACCCCTTGGTGGGCACCCCACGATGTGGGCACCTTAGGACTTCCATGTGTCCATACTACTCACTTGAGAGCGCGGTTGGGTTTGTCAGGAAGGATAGCTGTGAAATCACTGCATGAGTCTGACTTGTGAGACAGGCATCCCAGTCGAGTCCTCATCCCTTTGTTCCTGAAATAAACACAGGACAGAAAGGCAGGAACTGTCATGATCGCAGCTGTCAGCTCTATAAAAGGCCCTAGAGCTGCTGCTGCAGGAGCCAGTGCTGTATCCCCTCTTCCCCCACCCCAGGTGGCCCCTGAGGAGTTCATCAACAGGCAGGGAACACCTCAAGAGCCAAGGGATGCACTCTGTCCTTATCTTGACTTCTGGCATAGCAATAGGTCCTCTGCCCTACTCCTAGAGGATGAATGCTTTTTAAAGCTGACACACCAAGTAGATGATATGTCAATAAAGGTCATTAGCTTGGAAGAATTTCTAAATTAGGATTCTCTGTAGGGAAAGGAAACACAGTGGTGACAAAATAACAGTCCACATTTTGCTTTCCCGGTAGGAGGGCAAAGTAGCAGCAGCAGCTAGTAACCGCAAAGCCCAGAAGTCATGCACACCAAGAGTAGAGGGAGGCTTGCAGAACACAGGGTGCAGAGCCGAGAGTCAGAGCACAGACCCAGTGTTGGGTTTTGGGGCAGGCCAACCCCCACGCAGGTTCTCCCCACTCATGACAGCCACTGGGCACAGATACAAAGCGCTCAGACCAGCAAGGGTGATTCCTCCAGGTGAGGAGAAGGGCAATCGACACAATCTATAATTAAGAACCAATATCCCCTTTGTCAGTTCTTTGACTTGCTTGACTAAGCTCTTCTGTTCCTATTTACATTTTGGCTTATCTTAAGAAGTATATTTAAGATGTTAACGTGTATGTTTAAATTTCTCATACATTTTTATTTTCCAAATGACCCTCATAATGATAGGATCTAATGAAAAAATCACACTAATGTTTCTTTCCAACTTCCAACATTAGCCTCTATTTACCTTTAACCAAGTATTGGCAAGCTACATCCCCACAAGGTGTCTGTTTGTGTACATGGAGTTTTATTGGAACATAACACCATTTGTTCACATATTGTCCAAAGCTGCTTTCAACTACAAGGGCAAAGTCAAGTAGTTACAACATAGACCACATGGCTCCACAAAGCTGAAAATATTTACTCTCTGGCCCTTGACAGAATATGTTGTTGATCCCTGATCTTTAACCATGGTAACCCCTCATGTTGAAGGCAAAGATAAGTGAGAAGAGTTTAGTATTATTAGACCAGGACTTCAGACTGACTTATAAAAGGGAACTGCCACGTGGACACTGGTAGCAATTTGCCAGGAGAATGGTCGTAACAGATGCCATTTTCCATGATGAAAGCAAGTCCTTCAAACCTGACTGTTTTTCTTCTTTTTCACAAATCCTAGGATTGGGCAGAGACCTTAGTTGTCATTCAATTCAATCACTTCCTTATGCTTCAAATGGATTTCTATCCCTGATCTTAGTAATTGTCTTTGCTACCAGAAATCTTATCCAACAAATGTCTACTGGGATGCCATTATATTTGACAGGAATGGATAACACTTGTATTCCATGGCACATCTCTGAAGAGTCTCTTAGGGTTAGAATGTTCAAGTTTCCCGAAATAATTTCTCTCCTCCAGAAAATTGACCTTCACCTCTTTTCTCAGCCAGGTCACTCTGTAAAACCACCTATTTCGTGGCATTTCAAACACTGGCTATTGGGCTGGGGATTTAGCTCAGTGGTTCTACCACCTACCTCGCAAGTGCAAGGTCCTTAGTTCGATCGCCGGTACCAAAAGTAAATACATAACCCACTGGCTATAGTTATTCTCTCTGTTGAGACCAAGAGCATCTGTGTATTTACTCACTCTTCCAAATCACAGATGCCCAACAACACCAAGTTATGCAAGTAACTGACTAACGGCCCTTGAGCTGTCCATCATATCCCATAAGTCCAAGTAAAGGTCCTGTTCAGGCTTCATGAGGCCAGAACCCTACATCCAGTGAGCCAGTTCATTCCTCACTGTCTTAGAATCATCAGTCACAACACAACCAGGTCACTGCCCCTAAAGAGCAACTAAGAGGACTCTCAAAAAGCAGGAAATCTGCACATGCCATTTAACAAGGTTTAGCAGAGGCCAGTGTTACCCAGATAACACGATTCTCTCAGTTTGTAAAAATCGTCAACAAAATATTCTTTGGGACAACATTGTTTTTATTTTGAATCTTTCCAGGTAAGTCTTAAGCTAAACTCTTCTTAGGTCTAAAATAATGGAAACAGAAGCAAGAGTCAAAAGTTAAGTTTCCATATAGGCTTTTCTTCTTCTGTCTTCTTCTACAACCCCTGGCCCAGTAACTTGTAGAAGTCTTGAATGATTCCATACAAGCTCATGCACTATCTCTCATCCCACCCATGGGTCCCACTGCCAAGAGATCCTGCCAGTCAGCGTGAGGGCACATAGCTAAGGCAGGTCCTGCTTGCAAGGCCACAACTTTGCAAAGAAGCACACAGCAAGAGCAGTGCAGTTCACGCAGGAGGCCTAGGGCGATAGGTGCAAGCGGACCACCCAGTCGCCTGAAGGCTCGGGCCAGCCTCAAACAGCAGGGAAGGTTGGGAGGTGGAGAAAAGAGGAGAGGGGCAGGGACAAAGAAACAGGTCATGGATCCGTTACCTGCGTGGCATCAGTAAGGCAGCCATACAGGCATCCGTTTATGGTTAACCCTTTGGCTGGTTTGCAGGGACGTCAGGGCAGGAAATAAGACTGCGGGGCTCAGGGATTTACCCTTTCACGTCCTTTCACCTAAAATCAAAGAATCTGCTGTAAGAGAGGCCACCCTCTCTCATCTGACTGCCCAACATGTCCTTCAACTGGTTCTCTACCAATGGAACTCCTCCCCACACACAAACACCCCAGCCCCCACAAGCATCCACTGCTTCTCTCGAGGACAACCAACCAAGGATGGAGGAAGAACAAATAGGTGGCTTTGCACTGCTGACTTCCGGTTAGGAGTTCCTACTTCCTTAGCCACTCACCATCAACAGAAATTGGGACATGGGCCTAGCAAACCAAAAATTACTGTTGTCTTTATCTTACTAGAGTGAGGTCCAAGTGACCAGGCAGGATGGGAGGGTGAGGAGCCAGCACTTGTTCCAAAATAACTTGATTGACTCCTGCTGTGGTTCTCACCTCCCCCCAGTTGTACCTGCCCTGGGTGGGTGGATGTGGAGACTTGGGGAGGTGGGAGTGACTCCAGCAGGGGCTTGGCAGGCACCCTCTCCACATGGGCTTGCTCCTTTGAAAAGTGATCCCAGGCACAGACTGAGGAAATGAATATGCAAGTCACCCTTTCTACCCATGTGGAGGTTGGGTGACCTTTCTCAGCCTGGGGGGCCTGGCCCATTCCTGACCCAAAGCAAGGAGGACACTGGGGTGGGGGAAAGGAAATATTAAGGTTGATTGACTTATGGTCCCTCTCTCTTTTGAGGGTCGCAGTGCTTCAGACCCTTTGTTCCCACAAAAGAGAACTGATAGGAAGAAACACATGAGAGAGCAGCCTATCCATAAAGGATTCCCTTGGAGAACTCTGACACCAAACATAGAATCCATTTTAAAGAAAATCTAATTTAGATAAATAAGTTTCCTATGTAAGCTACACCATTTAAAGTGTTTTGCTATTACCCTGAACATTTCACAAGTACTTTTTTTAATTGCTTTGCTAATGATGCTATAATTAATAAAAATAAAATGTGTTTTATGAAAACTAAAAGAAGAAAAAAATTAAGTTTTATGTAAAATCTCATCCACAGGGACTGTGTTCCCTGACAACAGGGACATTTCTTCAGTCACTGTCCTAACCAGGCTTATACCTGCTCTCCCAGAAGTCAAGAAATCAAAGCTCTTTATAGCTATAAGGGTCTCTAGAAATCATCTTTGGGGCACTTGCCTTATTTCCTCTTGCTTTTGAGATATACCCCAGGGGAGGGCCCTCATTCTCCTGAAGCTGAGCAGAACTAGATACTACTACCCACATACACCACAGCAAGGTCATTTAGGGCAAGGGGCCACTGAGGAAGGTCCCTGCCTTGTCACCCTGGCCATTCACACTACCAGCCCACACTGGCTTGCCATGCTGTCTAAATGCCTCTCTCTCTCTCTCTCTCTCTCTCTCTCTCTCTCTCTCTCTCAAATTCATTCTGCCCACAAACACCCATCCCTTTGATGAGTCCAGTTTCGGGCTCCACTAAATGAGAACAGCAGAATACTCTGCCCCAGCTGCCTGGTCCATTCTGACACCTCTCCACTCTTATCCCATTTGGTTCTACACTGATGGGGGACAGAGTAAGAGGTTGCCCAGAGTCCAGGACATTCAAAGGTATGATTACACCCACAGTGCATGTGCCCTCATAAGTGGACCCCAAGTCACAGGTGACTGGAGCAGACAGGATGGGACCTAATGGGAAAAGAGGAAACTCGGGGGAAAAAATAAAGGTTAAAAAGCAAAAAGCAAAGATTTATAAAGAGGGAGGGAGAAACTAAGAGCCTCAGTGGGGAGAAAGCAATCAATATGCATGAAGAGGCAGGTTAATTAAATATGGATAATGCCATCAGCACACCAGGCCACCCCAGAGAGGAAAGAGAACAGCAAAAATGATACTCACTGTCGCTGACCAGTCCTCATGGCCTGCAGTTCATTGCCAACTGGATGGTCAGAGAGGCTGCAGGTTAAGGGGCTCTGAGGAAAGAGTAGATCTTTCTTTTAGCAGTGGAATCCTTGGCAGGTGGAGGGCATGTTTGCATGGACACACAGGCTCGCGCACACACACACATATATACACAAGCATGCATGCACAACACACCTCCCACCAATTGAGCCAGGCAGCAAGCGGCCCCGCTGAAAGCTCTTCTCTCTGCTTGTCACATCCAGTAAATACTGAAGCAGCCTACACCCGGCGGGCGGTGGCTCAGCTCCCAGGCACAGTCTGCAAGCCCATCCTCATTGGCAGGACACAGGAGGTGCCCCTGAGCGGACTGACTTGGCACACTGCCTGAACCTTCCTCCTCAGCCTCACTAACCTGAAGCTTCTCTGGTTGCAGCTCAGGGAAAAGTCCCCACAGCCCACGGCTGCCTCTCTCTGCACCCAGAGAAGAGTCGGTATTAACTCTTTCAGGCCACCAATAAGCTGAAAATTCAGTGTCCAGGAGGCCCCTTCTAATGAGCTCTGCTGCTGGCTGAGGGCTAGATGCTGCACAGGGAGCATATAGATCTTGCCCCAGACAGCTGCTGACGGCAGGAGCCAAGCCGAATCAAATCTCCTAATGAGCCAGGAGGAGGGGGGCTGTCTTGCTGGGTGTGATGTGATGTGATAAATGCAGAGAGCAAGAAAGCTACGGGGCAGGTCACACATCTAAATTCCACCCTCTTTCTCCCAATTTCTATTGTGCTGCGCTACCAAGCCAAACCACACAGCCCTGAAATTACCCCTCTCCACCATATCTCAGTCGTCCCCTAACTCTTCAGAGGCATCTCTCTCCCAAACAATTTCCACTTCTACCCCCACCAGTGCCAACCACACCGCTCCCCATTTCTTAATGAGAAATTTCCGCCTCCTCCACCTCCCCAAACGTGCATATTTCTAACCCTGTGCTCCTGCCTCTCACCTGGTTTTTCCTACTGTAGAAACTCACCTCTCTCCCTCACCCATCACCTAGCAACTTCCCCCATCTTGCATTTGTGACAGAGTGAGACTTTTGCCTTTGTTCTGCCTGATCTGCACATCATCCTTGTTTTTCTGTCTCTTTTACTTCCAGTTTTTCTTCCAAACCTCCTTACCCACAAGGATCTTCGCACTGCCTGCTTCTATTCCAGAAGAAAGACTCTGCCTGCTTGTCTTAGTGTAGTGGTTTTCCAAAAGTGGTGCCTGGACCAGCAGCTCAGCATCACTTTGAGAATGAGTTGGACATGCCAATTCTCAACATCACCTTGCCAGACATACAGCATCAGAAACTGGTTTCACCTTCCAGGTGATTCTGACACAGGCTAAGCTTTGCAAACTGCTTCTCTGAAATGAAGCTTATCTTCTGTTCATTACACTCTGGGCTTCTAAGACTGAATCTCTGTCCCTATTCTGCAAGTCATTTCTGAAACTGAGAAGGTTACAGAAAGTGATGGCTTTATAATAAAAGTAATAGATTCCACATGTGACCTTTTAAAATGTATGAAGCATTTTCATGCACTGTCACTCAACAATCCCATGCAATGGTCAGAGAAGGTATTATTATCCCATGCTACAGGTGAAAAAACTGAGACTAGACATGGTGAATGCCTTTTTCAAGTTGACACAACGCACACAAGACAACACAAGGACTAGAATTTGTGTCTTATGACTAACAGCAGAGCTCTTTCTACTACATTATGCTGAGACAAAGAATTTCTGGGCACACCTATTGGTACATAAACTATATTCTAACACTGAAATGATTTTGCTGAAGCTATTCATTGCCAGGTGGTAGAATAAAATAAAAATTCCAATGCTGCCTCCACAGTGACTCATTGTCTCTCTCTGATAATGTCTACAGTGCCCCTCTGCTAAGCAAAGGAACCCCCATGTTGCAAAATGAGATACAAAAGAAAAGGTTTCCATTTTTTAATTAAGTTCATTTGTACATTTTAGGTATGCATTATGATCACATTAATCATTGGGAAGTCAGTTCTTATTTTTTTCCCCATTCCCCTTCCCTCCCTTCCATCACTATGCCCCTCCCTATTTACAAGAACTTTGTTTCCATTTTTTCCTTCTTTTCTCATAATGTTTTTCTTTCCCTTCTTTCCTTTCCCCCACCCCCTCCCTGCTTCCCCAAGTTTTTCATTCTTTATAACTCCTGCCTTGAATTGTGATGCTAGCTGGATTTAGAATTTAAGCAGACTAAAAAAAAAATTTAAGCAGACAGAGAATCTTTCATTTCTAAACATTTTTCTAGTACACTGTGCCATAGGAAACAAGTGCACAGATAAGCTAGCAAATAAAAGCCAGAAGATGAGTCCGTATAGCTAATGTTTAATGCACACAGCTATGCACAATGTTTAATGAGCATTTTATATATGCCAGACACTATGCTCAAATTGCACTGGAGTTAATCTTATTTAACTGTCACTATAAATTTATAAGGTGAACTTTATACAGGTAAAAATTGAGACAAGTCATTTGTAAGTGACAGAGCTGGTGTCTTATACCAAATTTGGTGCTACTGTGCTCTCAGTGTAACACAAAGGCCACATCACCATGGTACCCATCTCTACCCATGCTACAACAGTCGGCTAAAGGCCTTCTCTCATGCTACCAAGTCTGATATGCAGAGTGGAAAAGCACCAGGGGGGGGTAGCAGGGCTGCAGATGGGCCCCAGTCTCAAGTGGAAGCCAGTCAATATTAACCAGGCATCAGTCTGCAATTAACCTTTAGAGAAATAATATAGTCACAGGAAGTCAATATGGCAAGTGTTCAATATAATTAATAAAATTTTAAAGGACATATGAGAATAGAAAGAGCAGAGACAAGAGTGTGTGGACATGCCTAACACAAGGAAAAAGACAAAATTAAAACTAGTTCAAACGTTTTTACCAAAACACTCCTAAACACCAAGGAGTCCTCCCAAAGCACCCCAGCTTGAAAAGCACAGATCTAATGCCAGTCCCCTTTTGTGGAAGGGGTCTAACATAATCTTCCAAAAAGACAGGTGCACAAAGAACTCGAGTGGGGAACTAGGCTGAACCTGAGGTAAAGCACTCCACATGCTCATCTTCCCTAAAAGAAGGAGACAGGAGAAGGCACCAGTTTGAGTGCTCGGAGGATGGAACACATCCATGTGGACTCTACCCACCCCTGCTTTGAGCCCTGGCAGGAATACAAAGATCTGGATTCTTTTCTGGCTACTGCTCCTGACTTACTGGCTGAAAACTGGGCACAAGACATTTCTACTAGCCAAGACGCATGGCTTTCCCCCAGGAAAACAGTGGTGACAAGCCTTGCTCTGGCTGCTTGTCCTGTGCAGCTCTCCTCTCAGGAAAACGCCCTTGCCAATGCTCATCTCTGCTGTTCTCCACAATCAGCACTGCCATCCTGCTTCCAGTGAGCTGCAGGCTGCTGCACAGAGGTCTGCTGGACAGCTCCGCACCCTCAGACTGCTGGCTCCATTGCATTTGGAGCAACCAAGATTCCTCTCCTGAGACTCAGTTCCCACAGGGTTCCCTCTGTTTGTCCACAATATCACTTTATCCTAGTTCCTTGGAGTAACAAGTATAGACATTTTTGGTTTCTTTTTCCCCATTCCTCTTGCTGAAGTAGTTTTTAAATCTGATAGTTGTCTCTGAAATAGTCCTTAACTTCATCCCCTCCCATCCACTGGTGTTGCCTGTCAATGGGGATTCAGTTCCCAGCCCAGTGCATGTCCTCCTCATGAAATGACCTGCTCCATTTCTCCCTCACCCACTGGCAAACTTTCTTGCTCTCTACACAACCATCAGTGACCCACACCATCAGCACACACACCATAAAGCAGATCTTCTGTATAATAATCTTTGATGGGTCTACTGCAGCTTGCAGTTCCTCCCTGTACCTCAATCCAATTTGCCTATCCAGTTTTACATCCCCATTGCTCTTCCCATCCATCCCCATTGCTCTTCCCATGCACCTGATTCTTCAGCTGCTTCCTCTGCCTAGAATATCCTCACCTTGGATCTGCTTAGCTCCCAGCTCCTTTTCAAAATCTATTATCTCCAAGGTAGGAGTCCCTCTATCCCAGTCCCACCACCTTAGAGGTATGGTTCTGGTAGACCACATCACAGTTTTAGTTAATCTTTTTGTTTTATGGTTTCTAATCCTCATAACTGACTGTCCACTCTGAAAACACGTGACTTACTTCCCTTACTATCAATTCTAATTTCTATGTATGGAGCAGGTGTTTAATAAGCTGGCTGAATTTGATTCTGACTTCATGAAAATCTCTAAAAAACCACCGAGCTTTCCTTCTGCAGCCTCCTGGTCAGGACTAAAGTCAACAGAATATTAATGGCATTCAGGGGCAGTAGCACAGGTACAGAAGGCTTTTTGTAAATTACCTGAACAGCCCAGTTAGGACATAATGGAATTAATCAGGAGCAAAAGGAGCACTTAGCATTGTCACACAGGCCATGAAAATGCAATTAAATTGAAGATAAAGAGAATTAAAATCTGCAATATAATATTTTGAAAAGCCATGACAGAAGAGGAGGTTTAATGCCAAATGCCCCCTGTGTATTTGTTTAATCAATATACCACCTAGTTGGATTGTACCACATTAAAAGCTTTTAATAAAATAGTCACTTAGATATTAGATTTGAATTCTGGTCAGCATGCTCAAGCTCTTCCGCCAATCTTTTAAAAGCAATTTCCACTTCGTAGCTTCCTAGTAACAGTAGAAACATGAATCAACATACGCTGCATTGATTTAGGGTTTCCATGGAGACTGGAAGGACACAGGGAAGGGCAAGACAGAAAGAGGTCACTTGGCCCAAAATTCTACCTTAAAAAAAATGCATTTCAATTCCATTCCTCTGAGCATTAGCAGCCTCATTTCCTGTTCATCAGCTCAAGCATCCAGATATTTAATTTGTAATAACCCTCCTCAATTCCTCCTAAGGAACATCAGAAGGGACAGGGAGAGAGGTCAGCAGCTAAAGCTGGGAACCCATGAGGTTTGCAAAGAAAACCAGAGAAGTACAGGCTTTGGAATCAGAGGGGGGGGTCCTATGATTCTAATTCTGTCATAAACTAGCTCTGTGACACTAACTAACCTTACTAGCTCTGTGATCACCAGCTAACAAAACCAAGAGCTTTGAACTTTAATTTTCTCATGTGTAACATACAAACCCTACCACCTGGCCTATTTTCCAGGGTGAACATAAGAAAGAAATGAGATATTCTGTGGGAAATGCTTTGCAAATTCCAGTACACTGTCCCTTAATATTATGTTTGGAGGTGATCTTAGCTTAGCTTCCTTTTAAATGGAATTTTGCCAGTGAGCACATAAATGC